ATGATTCTATGATTCTATGATTTGTGCATGCTTGTGGGCCCAACTTACACAGTCATACTTGTCCTTTCCCCATAGGATACCTATTTCCTTGAACTGCATGAGCATTCCTTTCAGGTTGCCAAGAGCCAAAGATGCAAGGACTGACTGTTGAAAAGATAAAAATACATGTTGAATTTAAAGCAAGCAAAGCAAACGTTGAACATTAAGACCTAAGTTATCATACAAACAGGGCCAAAGTGCAGTTGAAAGGCCAGGGAGCTCCTCCCAGCATATAACTGTTGCTAGGACCTCCCTAGCTGTGGTGCAGGCCAGGTGTCGAACACGGGACTGCAAATCCCACTTATTTTTGGCACCTAAAAGCTGATGCTGTGATGTTTTGTTTGAGTACCTGCATTCCCTTTGAAGGACAAGATGTATGAGGTGGTCCTGTCATGATCTGAGAATGACCAATCTTTGCAAACCCCTGTTCTGCTCCCACTGAAGCCTTTGAACACTCCCCAGTGACTCCTAGAACAGCCCTGCCTTTGGCAAGGAGAAGGAAGTACAAGGTGAAACCAGTGAATACCTTCTGTAATGGTGCCAGGAGAAACCCAATGGCCAAGATCACAACCAAGACAATGACAGCTGAGATTATACCAGCGATCTGCATGAGAGAACAATTCTACCATAAATAAGTGCCCACAGGTGTTATGATCAGCTAGGAAAAAAACACCTTTCTTTAAATGACATCATGATCTCCTGTCTTCTATACCTGTGTTTTGCCTCCTGTGCTCTCCTGCACACCTGATCTTGACAGAGCAGTGCTGGAAGCAAATCCTTTGAATGATCCACCAACTATATTACCCAGCCCAAAGGCAATCAGCTCCTGAAATGAAAAAAAAAGAGATTGTTCTTAAAAGCTGGTTGATGACAGTTATTCACAAGGGAAAGCACTCCTAAAATTACTTATTTCCCATTGACAAATGCACTGTATTGATTTCTGTGTTATTTGCCTACCTGGTTGCCATCTATTGGGTAGTCATGCTTGATGGAATACACTTTAGCCACAGAGAAGGCTACTGCAAACCCAACTATTGCGATGGAAATGCTGTCACCAATACACTTTTGGAGGAGACCTACATCAGGTGCAACAGGTGCTTGAAATCTGAAAGACAAAAAACTCTACTCATTAAGGATATCCCTAAGGAGACAAGCTGTCAAGCAAGGCAGCAGTGCAGCTCACACCGAGTGCTTTGGAGAGATGCAACTCAGAACTGCTGGTTCAGACCCTATAAAAGTTCAGGGAATCCTTAATCAGGCCAGGACTCTGTTCATCTGCACTCGGCTCAGTCTGGGTCTCAGCAGGTTCTCATTTACTTGGCCAGGACCAGCCACAGCTTGCTTTGCTCAAGGTGTATGCACTATTCTGCCTTCTACTTACACATGGATGTAAGAACTGATGTGGTTCTGAAGCCCGTGCACAGGCAAGTTGCACACAGAAGGATTGCACTTAGTTATGACCAAAAAAGAAAGTCCCTGGGTGATTCACTGAAGCACTTTAGACAGCTAAAGAAATATTTACTGAGTCAGGTAATACATACTCGTCTCTCAGGCTGACTATCTGCTAGATGCTTTAGCTTTAGCATTTCCTGCTCCCTTGTTCAGAGTCTCTTGCAGACCCTAGGGAGAGTTCCTCTCTGTTTGTTTTTGTTTGTTTCTTTGTCTGTGGTTTTTTCCTCTTTCTTTCTCTTTTTTCTAGTGACCTGAAATCTGAAGAATGGAGACTCTTGAGCAGAAATAGTTTTTCCTCTGCAAACTTCATCCACTGTACCCTCAGTGCTATAAGAGGCAATTAGGAGTGACCTGATGAGTAAATGGCTGCAGTCTGCTATCCTAGTAATTGTCTTCCTTCCTCTTTTTTACTTAATGCTTGCCTATTAACTCTTAATGCCAAAATTCTGACACAGCTGGATGTACCCTATGTATGGATATATACTCTATCTTTAGATATGTGCTCTCTATATGGGTATGCTCCTGCAGGAGCAGACATTGAGGATTCCAGACGAAAATGGTGCCTGGGGAGATGCTAGTGGCTGGTCACAGAACCAGGCAGGAGAACTGTGCAGTGTCATGGTTCAGTAGCCACCCAAAGGCTGGTCATGGCTGCTGATCCATATGTGTACTTTGATGCACTGGAAGGGTTCAGGAGCAAGTAGATCAGTAAATGGACAAATATCAACCTTCTGCTCAACAGCTGTCTTACAAAATGAAGCACGTGATTATTTCATGTCATGGTGTATTCTTTGTTGCATAAGAGATGTGCTCTGGTGAGTAACTTTTACCTATTGAAAGTGTGTCCTCATTGTTGAGAGCAAAATGTTTATTTACCTGCTGAAAGAAGATGAAGCATTTTATTCTCATCAGCGACATGGCTGATCTGGTTTAACACTGATAAACTAGAAAGAACATTTTGCTCCACTGATGAATTTTAACTAAATCACTTACCCTTTCTCTAGTTCTCCAACGACAGCTACATTAAATTTTTCTTCAAAGTTTACGAAATAGGAAATCAGTGCTGCTAACACTGTCTGAAAGATAATAAACCCCACCTCCATTAGGTACAGTCAAGCAAGAGTGTGGAGAAACTATTAAAACCCATTATCTTTCCACTCCCACATGCCCTCCAGTATCATCACTAGTGGCAGAATTATGCCCCAAGTCTGCACATCCCTTTGCTGTGCAAGTGCCATGCCTGAAATACCTTACAGGTAGAATTTTACATTCATAAATCACACAAAGTAAGTATCAGAATATCTCACTAACAACAGAGAACATCCCACTCAATAAATTAGGGTGTTTTCTAACTAGGTGCTGTAATAACCCTGGAGGAAAACAACCACTCCTTGTGTCTGTAACAACATCCTCCAGGATCTTCCTGCCCATGTGAGGCTTCTCTTACCCCACTGCTGCTGGGGGCAAACCTGCTGGACGACAAAAGTGCTTTATGCTTGCCCATGGGTGGCCAGGACTTCAGTGTCTGCTTGCAGGTGTGGTGCAGAGGGTTTCCAGCTGTGATACTGCAGCTGGCTGGTGTCAGAGATAATTTTGTCCACGAGAAACTTGATAACTTATAACTTCTTGCTCACTACAGATGTATTTAGTTAAGAGCAGCTAAGTAGAGACAAACCATCTCACAACAGCTCAAGAACAATGTCAAGTTTTCCTTATAGCTAAAATTATAACCCATCATTTAATGCTGAACAGGAGAAGAAACAGTTAAAACTCTGCTTCCCATGTCACCATAGTGGTGGAGCACTTGCAAAATCAGAGAAGTAACCATTACCACAAGGAGTTCGATCGGGATGGGAGTTGGCAGCTTTGCTTTGTATCGATCGTTCATTTCTTTCACCACGAACACAATAAGCAAGACAATAAGGGACGTGACAAGGTCAGCGATGTTTGTTTTTGTGATCTGACTGAAAACGCTCTCCAGAGTCTGCAAAATCAGGAAGACAAATGTGGTGCTTTAGAAATAGTAGTGCCCTGGCCCAGTAACACCATCTCTTCCAGAGAGGCCTGTATCTCAGTTGCTCTAAGGGTAGCAACAGTTGGGATTTATTCCCTGTGGCATGACGTGGACTGCAAGCCCCAAGGGATGTGCACATGCATTGTTTAAACAACAAAAGCATCTGTGAAAGACTCTTTCCAGTGGCTCCGGGTCCTCTCCTCCTGACCTGCCCCTGAAAGAGGGTCAGAGCCACATGCTCGTGTGTGATAGGAAGTGTGGGCAATGGAATTATTGAGCAGGTCTCTCTCTTTGCCCCTTCTTCCTGTCCTTCTCCTTCCTCCTTTCTCATCCAACAGCCCTCATAGAGCCATATCCAAATTTAATATATATCTATAATATCAGTCCAGTAAAAGTGAATAATTAAATACGTGAGGCAAAATCAAACAATTAAAATATGCCAACATACAATAGAAATCATTATCTAATTAGCCCAATGAGATGTATCTTGGTGTTTGGTGATGAATTTAAAGATTGGTCATATACTAATAATCCCTCTCTTATATATTTCTCTTGTATTTCCTCCTGCTTGGCTGTTTTTATGCTGAGTTCTGTCACTACCACCTTGTGATAAACAGTCAGATAAACATCACAGGTTTTGATAGCATTATCAAATAGTTAACACCTAGCACTTACATAGATGATGCCAAATGGTTTATTAAATCCGGGGACAGGAAGCTGAAGCATGAATTTCAGCTGAGATACCACAACATGGACAGCTGCTGCAGTCGTGAAACCGCTGATTAATGATTGTGATAGATAAATAACGATGAATCCGAACTGGAAAATTCCCAGAAGCAACTGAAATGCAAAGTGACCATACATCAGTGTGATTCGTTCATGCTTTTGTGCAATTTCTGCCAGAGAAGCATATTTAATGCTAGCAAAGATTTTCATCTAATACCATGTATCCAGGGATTATACTCTCACAAGACTTGCAATAAAAGCTGAGACTTAGCAACAGGGGGGCATAAGACTAGTAAGATAATTGCTAAAGTGCTAAAAACCCATTCTTTCTATTTTATAGCTAAAATAAACCTCCTTAGTCTTAGGGTTTTCAGCATTCACAGTACCAGTGTTTCCTGAAGGACAAACATTAATATGTTAGGAAGAACGGACTTGTAGGAATTCTATATTAGAAGGAGAGAGGAAATGTAGGGTTTTTTTTAAAAGACAAATCAAAAAAAAATTTACTATTACGAGATAGAAGCTTTTTATTTTTGAGAAGCATTTATTCCCCTTGATGTGTCTGCATCATTCACATTACTCTCACAACTGCTTTTTTCCTATCCAGAAAATTGTTGTTCTTTTCTGTAGGTGGGGTGCACCTACAAGTAGGTGGGCTGTATGGTCAGATCTGGGAAAAAAACGGGTATTTCACAGCATGAATCAGTGGGTGGTCACTGGAGGAGGACAGATGTCTCCTATCAGTGAGCCAAGGTCACTTGTGTGGAAGGGGAAGAGAATTACTTTGGTGACTGCACCAGCAGAAATCAAAGGGAAGGCCAGTCTACCATCCATCTGTTCACACATGTGCATACAGATGCATGCAGGCATACACACACACGTTTACCAACCTGAAAAACCCCAGAAAAGAAGGTTACAGAAGCAGCCACCATCACCCTCTCTTCCTCTATTGCTGAGCTATTAATGGGAGGGCCATTTTCAGCCATTTCATCCGGGCCCAGCCTGGCAACAGCTCCTCCCACCATCAGGCTCAGGACAGGGAAGGGACCTAAGCAGCACAAGGCATTCATTAGACACCCAAAGGGGCTGAACGTACTTCTTCACCATTGGGGTTGATGGTCGGTGTGTCTGAACTTACCCACTGAGATATGTCTAGATGTGCCAAAGATAAAATAGACCAGAACAGGGAAAAATGCTGCATAGAGTCCATAACCAGGGGGGACATTCACCAGCAAAGCAAAGGCGAGACCTGCAAGGGTAGATTTAGATAAGACATTAGGAGGAAGTTCTTTACTGTGAGGGGGGTGAAACACTGGCACAGGCTGCCCAGAGAGGTGGTGGAAGCCCCATCCCTGGAGACATTCAAGGTCAGGTTTGATGGGGCTCTGAGCAATCTGATCTATCTGGGGATAACCCTGATCACTGCAGTGGGGTTGAACTAGATGGCATTTACAGGTCCCTTCCAACCCAAATCATTCTATGATTCTATGATTCAAGGACAGAGACCTGGGGAAGATGGTGAACACATCACAGGCTGAAGGCAGCAGTCCCTTTGCAGCCAGCCTAGCAGGCTCTGTCAGAGCACATGTTTCCTGGAATTACCTTGCAGGACAGCCACGAGCCCCGTGTTGATGCCGGACACAATGTCACTCAGGATCCACTCCCTGAAGCGATACGCTGGCAGCCATGAGATGACAGGAAACAAACCCAAGGCAATTTTTTTGACCCTTTGGGGGGAGCAACTGTAAAAATAAAAGAGGACAGAGCTCTGTCCTTAATTAATTAATTAATTGGAAAAAATCTCTTGATTAATGAGTTTTAATTTGGTTTGTTCGAATCTGAGATGGAAGTTGTCAGGAAGGAGCTCATGCTCTCTGAGAGTGGCAGCTCAGGCTGTTTCTTAGATCCATATTTAAAAAAAACAATGTCTAAATCCTTACCGAAAATATATTTTCAGGTGATCCAAAAAGGTTTTATGGTATCTGTGCAATTTCTTATGGTCTTCACTGAACAAATTCTCCGAGTACACAGGTCTAGCTACAACATAATGGTTGCCCACAGGTTCAACCATTTCTCCTGAAATGTCAGGTGAGGATGGCAACTTGTGTGTGCTTCTCTCTGGCCTTTGTCCCTTAAAAACCTGAAATGAAGAGCAGGGTTAGCTCCGTAAGTGCTGTGGGGCGGGTAGCTGTAGTATAGATGACGGAACTCCAAATTGAGCATTACCACCTCTGAAGATCAAAAGAGAGATGACTTCCTGCCCCCCATCTCCTCCCACTGCAGGGCAGTGTTCTGCTGGAGCATGAAATATTTGTCTCTAAGGATGCAGCCAAAAAGTGGACAAGATGGATTTTGAGTTAATCTATCTCCAAATCAGCCATCTACAACTGAAAACTCTCTCCCTTAAAGGAGACTAATTCCTTAAAGAACAAGTGGATCCCAATCAGTTTCTCTTTGTGGCACCACCAGCAATGCTGGGAGCTTGCTGAAACCCACCAACACATGAGGGGAAAGGCAGAGTCAAGGCAGGGCTCTGCTGTCCTGTCATGGACTTGGAGACAGGGCTGAATTGTTTGGCTTGGGTTTGTGTGTTGAGGAGGTTAGGCTCAGTAGTAAAAAAGCATGGCATTGCTGTTTGTTATTATTTGTAAGATTGATTTCCACCAGTTGTCTGGACTGCTTCTGCTCTATTTCATGCTCACAAACAGTTGTTGCAAAACCTGACCTAAATACTGTTTTCTGCTTTGTCTCAACCCACATTTGTGTGTTTGTGTTGAATAGAAACTGTCCTGGATCACTCCAGAAATGACTCCTGAAGCCCACATTACTCATGAGAAGAGTCAAGATTCATTTCAGTCAAGACCACTGGGTATTTTGCAGCACTTAATTGACACCATCACTGTGCTGCACACTGTGTGGTTACATTTCTTTCTAAACCTCACCTTTCTCCCATGTTAAATTCACCTCTGTAAATATACTGTCTAAAAACATTTCTCTCTGTTGCAGCCATCATTAAATATTTAATATGGTGCTAGTCCTAGACATGAACCATGGAACTTGCTCTTGGTAGCTACACTTGGACTAGATGGTTGTTGTAGGTCCCTTCCAACTGAAAACAATCTATTCTATTCTATTCCATTCTGACTCAGAGGTGAAGATATACTGTAGGAAGCACGGAGTCTTTTGTGACATTGATAGTACAGCTTTTTAATTAATTTTGTCTTCCCTGCTGCCAATGCTCCTTGACCCCTTGATGCTCACTGGTAATCTCATGACAGATTCCTGACCAACACTAGTTCCTTGCTCAGGTTGCACTTGACTTGCACTGAAATACCCTGCAGACATTTCTAATTCAGGCTTGTGTATATTCAGTATGTGGAGATATCACAGGACAGATTTTGAAGCGGCACAAAGCAGCTTGTATAGCTATGAACAGGTGGAAAGCTTTTTTATCTATGGCAATTTTGACATTAAAACGTGAATCCCGTCCTGAAACTTTGCTACAGATGAAAAGCCCATTATTGACCTTTTTCAAGTGATTTAATTTTAGTTTCTTCCTAGTTCATTCTGGGAAAATTCATAGATGTGTAGAAGTCCAAATAATGTCAGATGAATCTCTTAGATATGCTGATTTTGTTGATATACCGTTTCCCCACAAAGGATTCACCATTTTGGCAATGGGTCAAACATTTTACTGTCTGGGTTAATATAAGAAAATTAGACCTGTAATATTTAAAAAAAAATTGGCAAGTAATTGTTCTAACAGACTAATCCTTAAAATCTAATTTAATTCAAGACCCTTGTCCAAAGTCAGTTAAAATCATACACCAATCCTGTAACTGTACACTACAGTCCATCCCTATGTTGGGGTCAGAGCTCCAAACCTGAGCCTTACGAAATTTAAATGAATAAAAAATGTTCAGTGTAGTTCTTTCTTTGATAAATTTCAGTGTACTTGGATTTGAAGGATGAAGTTTTATCTATTCAGGATTTTACAGTTGTTCTGTTTCCTTGTCTACGTGTCAGACTTTCAGACTTCACATCACAGAGAGGAAAATTGCTGAAAGTCCTGTTGAATATTTTTTTTCATTATGTTGTAGGGCACAAGATGTACTCTTCGTACTCTTTGAAATGTTCATAAGCCATAAAAATAAAAGACGTGTGGGTTAGCCTTTCATTTCAGATTTTTCGAAGTGCTGCAGCTGCTGTAGCTTTTGTGAATACTTCAGTTGTCACTTCTTCCCCTTGCCCAGCCTTTGTTCTTTCCTCAGGCCAAATTTAAAGCCTGGATCTCAGGGAACATATAATATGCTTCTTTACAACTCTTGCTGAAGGTCGAAGTATATTGCATGTGGTTTTTCTCTCTTGATAGGACCCCCAATTTCCTGACTCTCCTCCAGGTTACCTTTGGGTCAAAGGCTTAGAGCTGCAGAAGGAGACCTGGAGCCTCGCCTTGACGGTCTTGTCAAGCTGAACTATGTGAGCATGAGTCTGCTTTAAAGATTGTGGTGCCACATGGCATTACTCAAGTTAAGTGTAACCAAGCCAGCCTGAGCACCTGAAGTGCAGTGTAATATGCCTTCAAGCTGTTTCATGGCAGGCAAATGAGACCATATGGTGCAGTGCCCTGCTGCAGCTGGATATCCACTGCTGCTAGTCACCCACTAGTTGAGCTTTTCTTGCCCCATTCCCTCTTGCAGAGGCTCTGTTGGCAGCTGTCGGCCACTATGACTTCACCCAGTATTGCCTTCCTCTTGCTTACTCTCATTTTCTTCCCATGTATGTTTTGAAAGATAGGATACCCTCTCCACAGAGAGGTTTCTTTCAGCCATTGGAACCAATATTTACTTTAGATGTTTTAAAGAAAATAGGGATATTGTGACAAGTACCAGCATAGTGGAGGCCAACTTCCTCTGCAAATTCCCTAAAAGAGTGGTCCATACCCCAGTAACTCACACTGCTTTTCCAGAGCACTCTTATCAATAAGTCCTTGGATTCCTTTTGGGACATGACCAGTTAGCATGATTCTGATGACTTCTATAGTGTGTCCACCCACACATGAGGAATAGGAGATCAGATCAAGCTTAAACTGCACAGCTATTGAGCGGTAACAACTTTCACTCACTGTTGACCAAGACTAGGTCTGAACTGAAACCCCAGAGATAACATTCTGGTTCAATTTTATTCCATATAGCCTCTGATCCTGCTCTCATGGCCAGCAATTAACAGTGCTACCACCATTCACACATAAAAAACTCCAACTCCACTGCTAATACCCCACATCTGCAAACCTTTGGTAATGCATATTTTGATGTGTCTCATTTTGTTGAAGGGATTAACAAATGGATACTTTTTCCCCTTTATTAATTTATCCTCAGTATTGATTAAGAAGTACACAAAAATCTGGTAACTTAAACTGAATAATTAAATATTAATCTGCTTCATCACACTTTTCAATCTGTATATACACACTCACAAACTCTACTTCTCCACAATATAAACATTTGAAAAATTAAAAAAAAAAAATTCCACAGGGGAAACTTTTATATTTTACAAGAGATACAACGCATAACTAGAAGCATTTACCATATGAGCATTTCTTCACATATCCCATATCCAGACTAGCAAGTCAAGATTGTACCTGGTATGACTTCCGGGAAGCTCTGCAGAAGAAACCACATTCAGATTTTATGGAAAAGATATCCTTGTAATTTTCAGAGGCAGTGCAGGTATCTTGTGCTGTTCTTCATTTCAGAACCTCCCTAAATACTGCCAGCACTTTAATAACTAACTGCAGTTAACTTTTACAAGAAAAGGAAGATTTCACTGTGGCCTTGACCATTGAGCCTATCCTCAGGAGGGATGATAAGAGTAATTTCTTCAAGTTCTCTGTGATATTGCTTAACTTTGTTTGGTGAACTGTTTCTCATTGGTCTGCAGAGACTAATATGGGAAAATAGAGATGAATAATAAGGACTGTCTGTTGCAATCCTGTGCTGTGCATCTGCCAAGTTTCTGTTCAGCATGGTGGAAAGTGCTGACCTGAGCTCTGCTATGGTACCCTTCATTTCCCAAGGAGCACAAGCCAGTGGTAAGGGAGATGGGGCTGCTGGGCATGCCAGCTCTGAGCAAGGTGTGTCTCTGTGAACCTTCCTTTGTCTTTCCAGAAGTAACTCCTGAATGCTCAGATCACTGCCAAAAATAGCTTTTGCAGGGATTTCCAAAGGCCAGCTGTGACCTGGTGGAGCTGGCAGCTGTGGCATCCCACGACAAACAGTGGAAAGGTGCAGGATGTGCTCACGGCTGCAGGTTGGGGTATGAATGTGGAGTAAGCAGGTTGGACTATCCTGCAGGATCCTGCTTCTGTCTACTGCCTATGAACAAACTGAGGGAAGTCATCCTCCATAGGCCAAAGTGAGCCTGTATGAACATTTCCCTAAGTTACCTAAAACCAGTCAGGATAAAAGCTCAAATAGTATTTTGATGTCTCAGGCTGCAACCTCTGTTGCAGCTGTCTGTGTTCAGGTGTCCTGAGTTCAGGAGAGCAGTAAATCTTCAATGCTGAGGTGCTGAGGACACCGTAGCATCACAGCTCCCTGATGACAGCTGTCCTTACAACCCTTTCCTGAGGTCATGCTGCCATGAACACTGGCATGCAGAAACACTTCGGCTGTTGTATCATGGCATCCGGAAGGCTGTGGGGTGCCAAACTCCTTAGGGCATTTTTCTGGGCTGGAAACAAGAGCTTGCCTTATGCTTTGGGGGTCTGAAATGACGTACCCTGCTCCTGAAGAAAGTTTTCTTCACCTGGTGGAAGGGCATGGTGTGGGGGAGGGCACCCTGCGTACTCTGAAGGGACAGTCACATGCATGGATCTAGGAGGAGAAGAGTCAGGAGGAGCCTGAGGTTCTGCTCTCAGATGATTTGCCCATATTTCAGTCAATGATTAGACCAAGAAATAATGAAGTGAGCTGGACCCCAATATCTATCCCTAGAAGGTGACAGCTCTATTAGACCATAATTGTGCTTTAGCTCATGGCTCCAAGTTCACTGAGGGTCTTTACAGACCTC